AAGAGGTAGGTTTGACCAACTTTTGAATATGTAATGATAGGAGTAAAGTATAACTAGCTATAGTTATTAATGGGAAGATTTCGAGAAGCAATTGATGGCGTTTTTTAAAATGGCCGCCAAAATTAAAGAACAATTTAACAGCAGCTTCAATACCCTAAATAAATTTGTTCAATTTACAAAACATGAATGTAATAACTGCTGTTGACTTTTTAAACCCAAAATAACATATTTTAGGGTAGTAAGCTAACTTGCTTTTGGAAATGTAAGTAAAAATTCCCCCTTTAATATTAGCCCTTTTCTGTTTTGAAAAATGGAAAATATTACCAGAATCCTAAAAAAATTCCAGCTTTTTTACAAATATACGGTTGTTTTTCATTATTTTTGTGTACTACACAAGGTATTCAAGAGGACCACACAAATAACTACCATAATTTTCATGTATAAAGGTATTAATTCATTTATTACATAATTGTCCTCTACTGTAACCCTATTATTATATGTTGAGCAATAATCTTCATGTATTGCTAATATCACTGCAATCTGAACGTCGTCGTCCTTATTATAAACAGTTCTTGGACGTCTGGGGAAAGTTAATGCCACTTAATTTGAACAACTTTCGGTATTTGCCAGTGTTTGTGTCTAGAATGACCCTCTCTCCGTTGTCATAAAATAAGATATACAGCAGCAACGACTGCATATCGATGTCTCCAGAATGGAACGGTTGATATTTATGTATTGGTTGTAATGCCTTAAAGCATGCATTGCATGCAGGACAACTTTCGAGTCTGCTTTTCTTGGCTGCTACGAAGATCTGGAACTAATACTAAATCTCTTTCAGTGACAAGGATGCATTCTCGCCGATAGCAATAGTATTCAAGAAGGTATCCAACCAGTTTGTCGAAATCCAGTTTGCCGAATCCAGTTCACTGAAATCATGAAATCCCATTTTGACAAAACTAAGTTTTCCGAAACCCAGTCCAAATCTCTGTGTTACAAAAGTACAGCATACTGTGCATTTGAAAGGAAGGAGCTTCATTTGTGTACAAATTAAAAGGAAAAATATTGGAAGACAAAAAAGCTGTAGAAAAACACACTTGAAAGCATGGCTAACAGTTAAAATTAGAATAAAATGAGATTAAGGATAAGCATCGTATCCTTCTAAAATACTCCCTCTGCAAACCCTATCAGGATTGTTGTGCCAGGTCCCTGACCACTGAGGCTCTAGTCGGCCCCTTGAGTCAGACCCCCTGTCGACAAATTTCTAGAGCCACAATTGGCATGTGTGTATAATTGTAGATTATTATTAATTTGTTTATTTCCTCCATTATTATTTTTTTTAAATAAATTTATGTATTTATCATAGGTATGCTAACATTTTAACTGGGAGGCCTTTTAAATTGACTATTATTCGGTGATAGCCAATTGATTTACATATTAAAACAAAAAGAATCATTTAACTACAATAAGCTGCTATTTCTTATACGAATACATAGTAAGAGAGTGTTCCAACATGAATGTTATGCTGTGGTTAAAGTTTTACATACTGCTTTTATTTTATTTTCGACAAAGTGGGTTTCAGCGCAAACTGGGTTTCAACCAGTGACGTAGCCAGGATTTTGATAGGGGGGGGGAGCTGTTATGCAAATTACGTATGACCCTGGCGGGGTCAAGGGGGGGCGAATCCCCCTGTGAAGTAGCGCAATCTGAACGTTCTTAGGACTTGTTTGAGAGGATAAAGTGAAAATTGCAATAGATGCATTATAAATAAGCGCAAAAATTATATAATAATTCAACAGTGGCAAATCCAGGAATTCGAAAGAGAGGTGAACCAGGGAGGGAATTTCACAGACTGAGGAACCACCCACCTCAGCCCCACCATGGTTGGGGCTGAGGTAAGAAAATTTATGATTAGGGCATCTGTATATATGGCCGGAAATTACACTCTCGCACTTTGAATTTGAATATATTTTTCTTTTTTTCCTTAAAAAAATGATGGGGGGGGGGGCCTTGAATCAACTTCTGCTCAAAGCATTCTTTATCCAGAATAGTCATAATCACGAAAAATGGACATGAAAAACCAGATCACATCCTAAAAACAAACAGCAGTCACTGAGACATACATCAGGAGCCGACTCGATGGAGTTTAATGTCATACCCAGGGAAGGGCACAGATCTGTTTTGAAAGGTGGAGGGGGGGGGGAATTTTGTGAGTCGACACCCACCTCAGCCCCACCATGGTTGGAGCTGAGGTGAGAAAATTAGAGGAAATAGTACCTCTAGATGGCCAGAAATGACACTTTTAGTAAAATTCATCATCATCACATAAACCATTAGTCAAAATGAAGTGCCAAAAAAAATTCTCATGATCTTTTATCAGGGATTTTTGACAACCATACAGATCTTATTAATGCGTGTGTGAAATACCATAAAAAAAAAAAACAGAAAAAAAAAGCTTAAAAACATTGTCTTTGAGTGTACTTTACATAGGGCTACTTCAAAAACCTGATTTCACAACCACCTCAACCCCACCATGCAGTGGCGGC